GTGTTTCCTTCAGTAGTATTGAATAATGTATACTGAGTTTCTAGTGTATTTATTTCAAAGTCGGGAATAGGAATTTGGTGTTTGAGTAGGATGTCTTTTAACCAATCAAAAAAAAATTTTCCTTTATTTCTTTGTTTTCTCCATTTGTTGAATCTTTTATGAAACAAAGATACTAATTTAGGATCAAAAGTTTCTACATACCATTCTCTGATATTTTTATTTTCGTGGGATAAATAATCATTAATGATAAATTCTTTATCCAGTTGTTCTTCAAGTTGTAGTACTTGAATAAATTCTGCTTCCTCAGGTTCTTCCTGAGCTTGTTTATATTGAGGGATAATGACATTATCAGATGTTCGTAATAGTCCATCAATTTGTGGTTTTATTAGTGTTGATGGAATAGTTATGATGGGAGGAATTCTATTGTAAGTAGTAACAGATTTTCTTGCTGGTTCTGGTTCTGATTTTCAGAAAGAATAAGTACTTGAAGTACCTGAGATAGATGAATCATCCATTGGTTGCAAAGTTCTATTATTCTATATATTCAATAATTTTATCTGGAATATTTTGGATAGATGTTTGTGATGGTTGATTTTCATTATGGATGGACCATGTTTGTGGTAAGATAATATCTAACCCTGATATATTTTTTGGTATAATCGTATTGGATTTTTCCATATTGGTTTGGAAAAATATTGTTTGTCCCCTGGTATCTATTTGAAGTACATTTGGACATAATGTATTCATAACTTTATAATAAATACGATAAACGATAGCTATATTTTGAGAACCTAACATCATATTAAATCCTTGAGTTTTTAGATTTAAAGATAAAACATTTAAAATATTTGGATCTGTAAGAGATACAGAATAATTTGGAAAACAATTGAAATATATTGGTCCACTACATAAACTAGATTCCACCATCACTAGTAATGAATCAGAAAATCTGTTATGCCTAATATCTCGTAAGCATACTAAGATAGAATTATTTAATCCTAGACGAGTTAAGGGTTTCACAGCTTTTTGGATTAATCCTACGTGTAAATATTTATAGTTTTTTGTTTTATGGACTTGTAATATTTTTTGGGATAATAATTGAAAATCTTCTTGATTACTTGTAACAGATAGAGTCTGTTCTACTGTTTTGATAGCATATCCGATTTTTAGATCGAATGTGCCTTTCTTGTATACATCTGATATTGGTACTCTGGGTATGTTCCAATTTTGTATTTGATTTTCAATATTGTTAATAATAATTTCTTCTTTATTTTTTATCCTTAGAGTCCTATTAGTTGCACTGGTTGTTTTATCCGTCAGATTATTGATAAATTTCTCTATTATTAGGTTGCGGTTGAGTGTTATCTGGACAGTCCTCTTTGACTACCTCTTATGTCTTCTAGACCTCAGCGGCTCTCCTGGCCTAAACGGTCAATTGACTGGGTGTCTGAGCGTCTCTAACCTCAATGCTCAGACCAACTTTCTTTAATGGATTAATTTGTTAAGTTTCTTTAAGATAAAAGAACTAGTGATAACTCTTAGTCCTCTAATACAGGGTTGGCTTTGATACCATAAATGCTCCAAGATCACCCTATACTCTATAAATACTAACAACTCAAATACAGAACTTATCTTAGGAACTGAAATATTAAACTATGATAAGAAACTACTTGTTGTAATATGTTAACATAATATAAAAATGTTAAGATGATAAAAATAACAGATTCAATGGATATATTTATGACTATCCAATAAGTATGAGTATAATTACGATTTTTTATGCTAAATACTAATTTAAATTGCATTGTGGAACAAACATAATAATCACATATATTGATTCAGAAAAGGAAATACAAGCAAACATACTTACGGATTATTACAAATACATAAGCTGAAAAATGACTGCCATTCGTGAGGGCAGTAAGATGGTAGAGTTGATAAATTACAATCACACATGTAACATATAAGAAAGAGTAAGAAGTTACCGACTTGAGAGACGGTAGATTTACAACAGTACTAAACGAAAAGAGTAAGAGAACAAAAAGAAGAGAAGAGCAAAAGAGAGGAGAAGAAGATAGAGGAGAAAAGAGCAAAGGTCTGAGCTTGATCTTCTTTAGTCTGCTGGAAATCCTTGCCGACCTGTCTTCTGGTAAGTGAAGGGGTTTATTTATAGAGGGCGAGAGGTAACTTGGTGTCGAAGGTATCCTTTCTGATTGGCGAGAGGTAACTTGGTGTCGAAGGTATCATTATGATTGGTTGCTGGAAAGTTGACGTGACGGAGGAATCTTTATAACTGTGCTTGAGGCTTCGTGGCGAGTATCCAAGGGAGATGTGACTATAGTTGAAGTCACATAATGCATAAAGTGGAGTCATGTCGTGCATAAAGTGGAGTCATGTCGCGAATAAAGGTAATATTAAAATCTGCTTTTCGAGTGGAGTCTTGTCACAAATAAAGGAAAGGATAAGAATCTGCATTACGTCAGATCATGTGAGCTGCTGCTGATGCTTATTGTATTAGTCGGGTCGCCTGATAAACCAAAAATCAAAGAAATTAATACTGTCAAACAAAATATCAAACAAAAAGAAGATTTTATAGGATCGTTACAACTTGACATCAAACATAAAATTATCAGTGAAAAACTCCAGACTAATGATATGATATAAAAAATACAACAACTCAAAAGTTTTATTGAAAACGAAATATGTAATGATCTACCAACTGCTTTTTGGCATAGAAAACAACATATTGTTGGATTACTATATGAACAAAATTTTAGCGAAACAAAAATATCTAGTATTTTTTGAATCTCTTGAACAACATTTTTTATTGACATAAAAAGCAGAGCAGCTCCATGGAGATGAACTGGGACGTATGAGTTTCTTATGAAGTAAATCTTTAATTTCATTATGACATGTTTG